TGTGAGCTGCCTACTATGAGGCACTCAGAACGCAGCACCGCTTTCTAAAGCACTCTTGCTCAAAATATGTCCCATGACTATCATCATCAGGAAGCATCAGAAGAATCTGTGAGAAACAGTTCAACAAAAGAGAGGCAGACTTACAACAGAGGGAGAGGAGAAGGGAGAGAGGAGAGTGGTGGCAGGGAGGAGGGAAGAGGGGAAGGGGAGGGAAGGGAGAGGGAAAATAGGTGACCTTTAAAGGTCATGAAAAACACCAACTTAAAACGTGTCCTAGGAAAGAAAGGGAGTCTGAGGAAACAGAGTCACAAATACAGTAGCAGACTAAACCCTGGCCAAGAAAAAAGGAAAGATTTTGAAACAAGGAGCAAAATCTGAACAAGGCCTATGAATGAGCTAATACCAAGAAATATAGGGATTCTTGGTGTGATTTTTGCAATTCTTTTAAAATGCTGAATTACCTAAGAGTCAAAGAGTTTTTTTTTTAAAAAAAAAAAAAAAAAAAACAAATAATAATAGTGGTGATAATATACTAGTCCTTGGTTAGCCAAGAATAGACTGGTACCATCCCGAGGCCATAAGCACACAAATCACATGCCACACACATCATCACCCTTACTTTGCAGAACCCCACAGTACTGTGTAAGGGAGCAGATCTCCATGGGCTCCAAATCTGATCTTGCATCATAGGCCACAGGAGAGGACGTACTCCAGAACTAGGAAAGGGAGTGCTGCAAGGCGGTTCTGTGCATGCCCACAAGCATTAAAGCACTGCTTCCTTCCACAGTGTCTTCATCCTAAGAGACGTTAAAACTCCTATCACTCAGCCAGGTGTAGTGACGCACACCTTTAATCCCAGCACAACCAAGTCCCTGTCAGGGGAAGAAGAAGAAGGAAAAAAGCCTCAGGTCACTGACTCCCAGCCCCTCACAGCATGTCAGGAATGTGGTGCACAGTTCTAAGCTGCCACACAAACGTTGATAAGCACTGTAAAGCACCAGGGAAGGGAGGACAGGGCAGCATCCTAACAAGGCAAACTAGAGGAGCTCACACCCCAAGGCTCAAGACAAAGGAGAAGAGGTCTCAGGACTCTGGGCTTCAAACAAATTCAGAATTGCCCTAAGAAGACAGGGTAATATATGATGGACAAATAAAAAAATGGAGAGAAAACAAGCAATAATTGTAACTGAATAATGTCATTCATGAGATGTGTTAAAACTACAAGGTGGCTCACTTTGAATGTGATTTTTAATGCCCATCACCACTCATTCAGCTGTTTACCAAGGCCAAGTATGTGCTAGGTGCTAGGATCAACAGTGACTAGGTAGACAAGATGTCCTCCTCCGTGGGAAAGTGAGGTATGAGGAGGAGACAAGAGTTGATGGAGACATGGACGAAGACGGCGGCAGTGGGGCCAGCCCCAGGCCTGCACTCCCATCAGCTGACTGCCCGCCTCTAGACTCCACCGAGAAAGAACAGGACTGGGCACAAGGGGTCCAAAGCAGACGTCAAAGCCGCCTACCACCTGCAGGGCAGAGAACAGAGGACAGCCTGCCTAGAACATACTGGGCCCCCCACTGAGCAGAGACAGCATAGGGATCCTCTAGCAGCATCCCACTGAGAAGGAGAACAAGAACTACCAGAGACTAGGATCTTAGGGCTCACAGAGATTCCAGGGGAACACAGAGGAGAGCTCCAGCAGCAGGTCTGACCACACGGTACGACAGGGGTCACCTATGCTTCCAGGCTTGTCTGATCCTTGACTTGAACACCAGCTCAGAGGCTCACCCTCCTTACCAAAGCTCGCCCCCTGCTCCCTTCAAGTCCCTTCAGACCACAAAACTCAGGCTCACCATGTGCCACCTATGTGCCAAGTGCTAGGAACTCGTGCAAACAGGCAGACAAAGGGGCTCCTAGGAGAACCCTGAGACCTCCTCCCTCATCTTCACTGCCTCGGTGGCACTCATCCTAGCCTCCACTGCATCGAAATGTGAGTGCTTTAAACGTAAGAGTGCCTGCTCTTCACGAAACTCCAAACCCATGTCCACAGCTCATTCTGTAAAGCCACCTAGACCCTGGTCAGCTTCAGCCCCTTAGGTCAGTAAGCCGCAGCCAGCTCCAGTCATCCATAGAAGCCCTTTCCTTCCTGTGCGTTAAAGACTGTCAGCTCCAGCCTTTCAGTTGCCTGGCAACAAAGCTTGACAGGGAGAAAAATACACAGTTACATTTAAAATTCTAAGTGCAAAAAATACATATAATTTGCTACTAAAGACAGTCATTATGCAGTAATAAAATATAATTTATTACTAAACATAATAAATACTAAACAGTCTATACACCTGGAAAGCCCAACAAAATTAAGTAAGAGACTATCAGGAGCCTAGAAGAGACCTGAGTCTCATTTCCAGTTTCTCTACCAGAAAAAAAAAATTAAAATTCCACACAAGACTTAAAGACTCACCCTATTCTTAGACAGAAAGAAAAATATAGATATCAACTCGTCCTAATCCAAAGCATGAATTGAATGTTTTCCTATGAAAGTTTCGATCAAATTTCCATATAGAAAAATTAATTTCAATAAAGGAAAGTATTGGAAAAATGATTAAATATGAGTCTTACCAAGTACTAAAATGTATTAGAAATCCACATTAAGGTAAATAGCTTGGTAATGGCAAAAGAAATATATAGTTTAGTGTTTGTAAATAAAGAGAATGGGAACTGAGAAAAACCCAGAACCATACACAAAGACAGATCAGAACCTAGGGTAAGACAAAAGTGAATGGTACTTCAAGAACGGGCCAGAACAGCCCAGAAATGAGTTTAAGCCACTATCAGAAGCTGGGAAGGGATCAGGTTCCCTCATGCAAGTTGGCAGTGAGAGGGCAAATGCGTACTCTCTCAGGAGCCAATTTAGCAACATCCATCAAAATTAAAAAACCTTCTGACCCAGTAATTCCTGTTCTGGGAATTCATCCAACAGATACGCATACACATGTTCTAAGAAACACACACAAACACATATTCACTGCAGCATCATTTGCGACATCAGCATACTGTAAACAGTTTAAATACACACCCCCTTAGGGACCCATTAGATAACGACCATAATAGGATCCATAGGATATTATACTCTATGGCAGTCAAGAAAAACCCTAGCCACATATCAGTCACTGGGAAGCTTCTGAAAATCCACAAGATATACAAGCCACACCCAGAGCTATCAAACAGACCTCTAGGGGAGGGGCCCAGTAATTTCCACTTTAAATCCCCAATGAGGGTAAGGTCAGCTGTGGTGAAGAGCCTCGGTGCCAACCATTCAATGGAAAGAAAGCCCAGACTCCATTCCTCAGCAGCATCATGAGCACGAGCCACTTTTCTGAAGGTAAAATGGTGGTGGGCAGTCCTACCCCATGCAGTTTTGAGGACAGTAAAACTCACGTGTGTGCTAAGGAGAGGGTGCCTGGCAACAGAGAGTCGGTGCCAGCCGCTTATCAAGCCTGAGTGATCACAGCACAGTTAGGGGATGTGGCAAAGTCAACAGCCACAGATGTGCTGTGTATACACATGTACTGTGTATAACAGGCCAAGTATATGCACACACGAATAAATTTACCAAAGACACTATGGACAAATCGCGTCCAGGAAGAACAATTCATTTCCATTACATAGTCTTGTAACTTTAAAAAATGTTACCCTTTATCCAACTGTGACTTACAAGAAATAGGACAGAGGACATGCTGAACCAGCTCACAGCTAACAATCAGTAAAATTCACAGTGGCAAGCCCAACAAACAGCCTGATTTTTTTTCTCTTTTTCTTTTTTTAAAAATGGTTCTGGGGATAAAAATAATAAAAATAAATCTTAAAAAGAAGAAGGTGGTTCTGGGGAATAAACCTAGGGCCTTGTTCACTGATTTCTTTTAACAAGGATATTCTGGGGCAGGGGGCAGAAATTGTCAACTAGGAGCCATCCATGTTTGCAGTGTTATCTATAGTCAGATTCCAACAAACCACATTATAGAACATTATAAGGAAACCGAAGTTCAAATACCCGCTGAGGACGTTAGCATAAAATGCTATGAGGCAGAATTTGTTTCACACAGCAGATGACTGAGAGACGTTCTGACAGTGAGCATGTGGGAGGGAGTCCTACACTCTTGTGCCCACTACGGTTCTCCTTCAAATTCTACCCAGCCAAAGTTTTAGGAATTGTATATACTATGTCTTTAGTGCAAAAATTAGCATAAATTATTACGGCACGATTCAAATACAAGTTGGTTGTCACAGCTCTCCTAGACAGGGTCTAAGGTAGCCAGGACTAGCCTCAAGCTCTCCAAGTAGCTAAGGATGGCATTGGACTCCTGATCCACCTGCCTCCTCCCAAGTGCTAGGATTTGGTGCATGTGCCACCATGCCTGATTCATGCAGTTCTGAGGACTAAACCAGAGCTGTGTGCATGCTAGGCAAGCGCTCTACCAACTGAGCTCCATCTCTAGTCCTTAGCTTAAAAGCATCTTTCAGACAGTCAGACGATAGTGTTTTCTTCACAAAGGAAAGCAAATGAATTCATGTCCAGCCTAGTGAAACAGAGCCAATCCAGTCTCCCACAACTCTAGTCCTTCTTAACTTTTTCATCGGAAGAAAGGAAACAGATCAGTGATTATCACTATTTTGAAAAACACATTTTCCAGGTTACTGCACCATGCTCCTACCTCCCCCAGGTCATTTCTAATATAGCTTCAGTGCCCAATCAATCAATCAATCAATCAATCAATCAATAAGCAAGCAAGCAAGCTACTGCTTTCTAAAAACAAAGCCTGTTAAGTCTCTCTATGAAATAAGAATTAAATGAACTGCCAAACAAAAAAATACGAATGCACTGAGCATTACTCCTGCAATCCTAGCAGTAAGAAAGCTCAACAGGAGCTTCTGGCCAGCTGGGGTTAGAGAACTAGATCCTAGCTCAAGAAGAAACTTGCAAGTAAATCAGCAAGTGAGCAAGTACTTTCTAGAAGGCAAAAGTCTTCCTAGCTGTGACTTAAATCAGGTCCTCTGTAGGCCTCTGATGCCTGAGCGTCCTTTAAAAGCAGTGATTTCAAGGTGAGTTTGTCTGCAAAAGGAAACCGCAGGGAAGCTGGGGCTCGGTCCCCAGGAGCTCCACAGAGCTCTGATCTAAGGCAACAGGCAAAGGCCCCTCTCCTCCTAGCTCTCTACTTGTGCCCTCCCAGCACATGCTAGGTATGCAGTACTCACCCTTGTCCACGAGCAAGAGCCACTCCGGGCACGTTACACCCATCAGTGCACAGTAGGAATTCAAAGTACAAAATAATGCTGGAAATTCTCAGGCTATACTCTTCAGCAAAATAGAAAGACATGTCATAAAAGTTTACAAACATGTATTTAGGGGCTGGAGAGTTGGCTCAGTGGTTAAAAGCAGTGGCTGCTCTTCCAAAGAACCTGGGTTCAATTCCTGCCCCCACATGGCAGCTCACACCTGTCTGTAACTCCAGTTCCAGGGGATCCAACACCCTCACACAGACATCCATGCACGAAAAACACGAATATACATGAAATAAAAATAAATAATTTTTTTTAAAAAATAGACATGTTTAAATGTATGCCTATGTTACATACATAGGAAAAACTATAGAAAATATCCCAAAAACATAGTGAGGAGTAGTGAGATTTTCTCCATTTACACACTTGTCTGTTTTCCAAATATTGTATGAGTATCATCCAAAAGAAAAACAAGCATCTCTTTTTTAGGACAAATGACTTCAGTAATGATGGCTAGCCCCTGACTGAGTAATCACCCTATCAGGAACCATGTTAATCAGGTCCTCAGCATTTATTCATCCCTCACAACAACCTACAGGATGAACATGGGGACTTCTGACTATACCAAGGAACTGTCTACAAGGGGGACTGAAGAAAGCCTTAACCAGCAAATGGAGAACTGTATAAAAATAAGCCAAAGGACCCAGCTTTCACAGGTAGTGTGACTGCACCCAGAAAGCCTCAGGCAAGGTCTCACTCTAACAGCCTGCCTAAGAAACATCACACAATGCCATCACGGGCATCAGTGCTACAAAATGGGTGTTAGCATTCCAGAAATTTCTATGTTGAAGCCCTCTCCTCAAGGTGAGGTTACTGCAGCTGGATCTCTGGAGAAGATCAGCTCATGAGGGCTAAGCACTCGTGAATAAGTAGGAGACTTAGAAACAAGGTCCCAAGGAGCTCACCAGTCCCTCTGTGACAGAGGTTCTCAACCTGTGGGTCACAACCCCACTGGGGAGTTGTATGTCATGAATCCTGCAATCAGATATTTACATTACAATTCGTAACAGTAGCAAAGTTAGTTATGGAGTAGCAATGAAATAATTGTATGGTCTGGGGTCACCACAACATGAGGTTGAGAACCACTGCTCTATGTCATGATGACTCAGAAGACTGAGGTCAGCCAGGCACAGAGGCACATGGCTATACAACTAGAAAGTGGAAGCAAGAGGATCAGGAGGAATTCAAACCAAACCTGGCTAAATAGTGAGTTTGAGGCCAGTCTGGGTGATACAAGACCTCTTTCCGAGAAAAAGAAAAAGGGGAAAAACAAAACAATGCTGGTGATAGAGCCCAGTGGAATGCTTATGTAGCACATACCACGGTTTGATCCCAGCACTGCCAAAGCCAACCATGGTATTTATACTGCCAGGTAGTTACCTCTTCCAAATGATGCCATTCCCTTCCCAAGAAGTGCCTAGGTCCCTCTAACACCTAGACACAAAGGACACACTGCCAAAAATATGAAAGCATACCAATGGCTTCATTTAGTTCAATATTCAACTACATGAGCAGCTCCTACATCGTGTAGTTCTATGATGCCCTCTCCCCACACTGCCACTACGCTGCTTCCCTGCACAGGCAGGGGAATGGCTGGTTTGGACACAGGCTTATAGTAATGACTATTCAACACGACAGCATGGGATCACTCATCCAAGAGACAAAAAGGCACTCGGCCCTAGCTCTCAGGGTAACTGTTTCCAGGGAATAACTGATTAACCGATACTCTGTTTGTTTGTTGTATTGCTGTGGGTTTGGGGTGGGGGTGGGGTCTTCCTTTTGTTTATCTGGTTATGGTTTTTCTGGGGTTTTTTGTTTGTTTGTTTGTTTGTTTGTTTTTTTAACATAAGAGTTTCACTGTGTCACTATATAGCCTAGACCAGCCTCAGACTCACCATGCCTACGTGATAATTTCTATCCTTTTTTTTTTTTTCCTTTTTCTT